GACCATAGCAGCCTACATACTCACCTAAACCCATCACTTGCCAATAGTGTTTTTCCTGAGTATTCCTGGTTTAGGCATTATTTTATTCTCATATTATTTAGAATACGACAAATAAAATATTCTCATGCTGTGGAGGGGAAGAATGAATTAAATGAAGGGTCCTCTTCCTCTCTTGGGGAGTAGGACCTTTGGTAGAACTGTGAAAATAAGTAGTGGACCCCAGTTTCTGTACAAATAGACTACAGGAGATGTTGGCAGGGAGCAGGGTTGCCTGGAGAAACAGATTTTTATCATGAAGATGTAAGTCATGACTTCTGGAAAGAATGAGAACAGGGAAAGAATACAGATCAAATTTGGTTCAACAGATGATTTGCGAGTGCTTATTACACGGCCTTGGAAGTCTTTGTGTGAGGTATAAGGAAAAAAAAAGAGGAATAATGTATTAAGTATTCCCCATTTTCTCTTATACCTCATATAACAAAAAAGATACAGGAAAAAATGAGGAATAATGGGTTAAAAGTATTGTTCCTCATTTCTTCTTATACCTCACAAAAAGTTCTTAGGCCACTTATTAAGCACTCACAAATCATCTGTTGAACAAAACTTGATCTGTATTCTTTCCCTGTTCTCATTCTTTCCAGAAGCCTTGACCCATATCATCATGATAAAAACCTCAGAGTTTCACTCTAGGTACCCTGCCCCTGCCAACATCTCCTGTAGTCTATTTGCATAGAAACTGGTATAAACCCCTTAGTCTCAGAGTCCTACCAGTTTTCCTACTCTCCAAGAGAGGTGAGGGACCTTTTATTTAATTCTTCCCCTAGGTAATACAAGAGTCTTTTATTCTCATATTCTAGATAATATCAGAATAAAATATTGTCTGTTGTTGTTGTTGTTGTTTGCCATCGAGTCGGCCCCGACTCATAGCAATCCCTCCTTGGGTTTCCGAGGCAGTATCACCACGGAAGTAAGATTGCCCAACTGTCTAAGTCAGGAATATTCAGGAAGAGCACTCTTGGTGGGTGACAGGTTCAGGCAAGTGTTTGAGTTGCTAAGGTCTTGAATTCTGTAAGGGTGAAAAACTAAGTGTGTGTTACACATATCCTGCCTGTCTCCTACCCTTTTCTCTTTCTTTGATCCCTCTACAGGGGCTATGAATTGGAATCGAAGGCAGTTTTTTTTTTTTGTTAATACATTAATGAAAATAATGTACAATGTCACTGAAAAAAAATTATTAGAGGGTATACATAAGACAGGAGTCTGGTAGCATAGTGGCTAAGGCACTTGACTGCTAACCAGAAGGCTGGCAGTTCAAATCCACCAGCCACTCCTCAGAAGGAAGATGGGGCACTCTACTTCCATAGTGATACTGCCTTGGCAACCCAAGGAGGGGTCGCTGTGAGTTGGGGCCAACTCAATGACACACAACAACAACAACATACATAAGACAGTAGCATTTCTAGTTCCAAAACAAGTGTTGCAGGCAGTGAAGGCAGAACGCAGACTGGAGTGAGCAGGGCATCGATGATGTGAGCTTAGAGTCGAATAATGGAGAGGAAGTGAAGAGCATATGATTTGTGTCTGAGATTTTTTTTTATCACATAGATAGCACTATACACACAAAGTCAAATTTGATGAACTTTCCCATCTCAGCTAATAGAATTACATGTATCCTGCAGCTCATGCCATAACCTTGGCAGCATCCTAGACCTTTTTTCCTTTTTCTGACATCAGTGACTCCTGTTGGCTGGACCTTCAACATGTGTCTCATAATTTTTCTCATACTTCCATTTGTACCAACCAAGCTCTAAACATCCTAATTTTTTGTCCAGACCATTTCAAATTACCTCTTCATTGGTTTCTGTTTCCAATTCTTTATCTTCCTTAGTAGCACAGTTCCAATTTTATTTAAGGCAGCAATGTGCCCAGCTTAGATTCTGAATTTCCTTGCCTCCTTTGTAGCTAGATATAACCTTATGGCTAAGAGCTGGCTACTCAGATAAAAGAGAAAGTATGAGACATCTTGGAAATTTCCTAAAACTGACCCAGGAGAAGGGTCAGCCTTCTTTGTTCTTCTTCTTTCTTTTTCTTGCTTCTTAGAATATAAATATAGTAGTTGCATATTTAGCCACCATCTAGGACCATGAGGTGACTCATTAAGAATGAGGATGCAGAAAAATAGAAGGAACCCAGGACTCTGGTGACTATGGAGTTGCCATACCAGCATTGGACTGCCCACCTCTGAAGCTACTTTTTGTGATGGAAAGACAAGTCTTCCTGCATTTGTCGGAAGGAAGACTGAGCAGTCTACTTCCATAGAGATACCACCTCGGAAACCCAAGGAGGGGTCACTGTGAGTCGGAATTGAGTCACAGGCATTTGGCTTTTAAAATACATGCTAAAACAAACCCCAAAGAGTTTATCTTCCACATCCTTTAAAAATATGTCAGATCTTACCACTTTTATCCTTAAAACCCCTCAATGGCTTCTCATCTTACTAAGGATAAAATCCAAAGTGCTTACTGTGGTCAAATCTCTGATTCTTTCGCTGATCTCAGTTTGTGCCCCTCTTTCCCACATTCATTCTGCTTCAGCAGAATAGACTAGGCACATACCTGCCTCAGGGCTTTTGCATGGTATGTCCTTTTCCTGGAATATTCTTCCTCCACATACTCACATGGCTAGTTCACTCATTTCATTCAGCAATTTGAGAAAATATTACTATCATAGAGGCCTTGCTAGCCATCTTCTCTAAAATTTAATCACTCACCATCACTCTCTGTTCTTTTATTCTACTTTACTTTTCTTTGTAGCACTCATTACCACATGACATCCACGTTTACTTTTTGTTTGGTGACAGTCTTTCTCTTCTACTAGAATAAGCTCAAAAAGGCAAAGGCCTTCAGCAGTTTCTTTACTACTTACTGTCTCTTCATGGTCTAGAATAGTGCCTGCTACCTGATGAAGGCTGAAAAAATACGTGTTGATTGCTGAATGAATAGATCAGTAACAAGGTGCAGCATTCAAGTGCTGGATAAAATTGA